GCTTCTCACGGGCAACTCCTCCCCCAAATCCATCCACGCCACCCTTTTCCCCGTCGACAGTGGATATTCATATGGTCAAACACTGATAGGAGGAATTCCTTCCTTCAATTTAATACCAAGCTTGTGCTCGCTCAGTGGCAGTAACCCGCTAGGATGCTGAAAGATGTCAAAAACTACTGCAGAAATTGTTGAACACAATTGAGGAGACTGTACTAACTCTGGTTGGATCATGAATCTCGCGACTAAGTAACTCCACCAAATAGACCAATTATGCTCCCTATATCATCTTTTATCTTGGTTTTGAGTGAGAATATGGTTCTGCACAAGCTAGCATCCCCTCCCAGCACCACCTTCCTCCCCTCCAATCCAATCTCCATGGTCACGAATTTCCAATCAATCCTTGTCTCTCAGATTATTTGTAATCGCTTCATTCCCAGAATCACATCAATACTTCTCAAGTCCGAGGGAAAGAAGTTCACTACTTGTATACCCTATAGTGTCAACACCAAACTCCGACAAATTCCCCTACTTTTCTCCACATTCTCTATCCTTATCATGACCCCAAAACTTCTCATATCTACCAACTTCAACCCTAACCGATCCACAACCTGATTTAAGATGAACTTGTGAGTGGTCCACTATCCACCAACACCACTACAGATTGCTCCCCGATCTGCCCCCTCGTCTTCATGATGTGGTTTAGAGTAAATCCCTCCACTGAGTTAAGGGACACCTTCGCTACATCAAGGTGTAAGTGCTCCTCTCTTTCCACCATTTCTTCCTCTAACTCTTCATTATCTGCCTCCTCCCATCAGAAACTGTAAAGACCTGGAACGTGAAATCCTTGCACCAGTGGCCTACTGCATACTTCTCATCACATTGAAAATATAATCCCTTTGCTCTTTTATCATGCACCTATGCCTCCATGAGGAGCTTGAAGTTAACCCTTCGACGAGCCCTCATACTCCTCTCCTTCGATGCCTCTCTTTGAAATGACACCATCTGGGTACTCAGTATCACCGTCTGGGAATCATCCAATAGTGTTGCTTCTGCCAGTCCTTTTCATATTCTTCTCGTCTTCCACCATCTAGGCTCGCTCCATTGTCTCCCCGAATCCTTGCGGTCTCAATAGTCAGAGGGTTGCACGCTTGTCGAGCTTTAGACCCTTTATGAAATTTTCCTTCAATATTGCTTTAGAAACCCCGCTAAACCGTCTCGATAATAGCTCAAATCTATTCCTATACTCAAGGTGGTCTCCTCTCGAGTCAAGGCAATGAATTGCTCATGTAAATCTCCTACTTGAATGGCTCGGAAACATTCAAACAAGCAATCCTTAAACTATTCCCACGACTTGATTAGATATCTAGCCTCCCTCAAATGAACCATGCTCAGGGATTTCCCCTCCCAAAATAACCCTGCGGCTATGAGCTTCTCCTTTAGCCCATTCATCACAAAATAACGTTCAGTCCGGTGCACCCAGTCATGTGCTTCTCGCCCCTTGAAGATCGACATCTTCAACTTCTTACCACTAGTATCTCCACCCCAACTTGCTCTCCCTCTGGTGGTTCCTCCCATATATCTAAGGTGTGGTTAAAATTCATCCTTCGATCATAGTCCTATCCCATCCCAACTTCTCTCATTCCTTTTTTGTACTCCTCCATACCCCTTGCATAACTCATTCCCCTGTTTTGAATCAACCCCCTCTAACGAAAAATCCATAATCCACCCCTCCCCCCCAATTAGAACCCTAGAAGGAGGTTATTGATGGTAGATGTTTTCCTCATGTTCCTCTCGTTCTATCTCATTCTCTTTAGATTTGGTCAAGGACTCGTAGATCAAAACTTGGTTAGGGTTTGCAATTTAAATCGTCGGCAGAATTTTGGTTCACATCTCGATAAGCCTCCTCATCATCTCCTCCCAAGCCCTCAAATCAATTTCCATAGAGGAAAACTTTCCTTTTATGCTTCATAATATTTTCTCGATCCCGATTTAATTTGCCCGACGTCTCCTTTCAATCTCTCTTCCAAAGCATCTACTTTCATTGCATATTCAAGATTTTGCTCTAATATCAATTTGATACGAATCAAAAACAAAATCAGTGAACAAATTGCAAGAAATATGTGGGAAAACCCAAAGTAGGGCAAATTTGATTAATCTCCAAGCAAACGAACAAGAAATGATGGGTGGTCTACAATTCGAGATAAAGATTGACTCTACACAAACCCTAAACACCGCTAAGAACAGAAAGACAAAATAGAAAGATGTTAGAAAAAAAAAACATGAAAGCAAACTATAAGTGATTAGCCCAAATAAAGTATTCACAAAACACATTCAAGCTTTCCCCCCAAATGAGATTCAAACTTCCCCTCCCGAGTCACGGGAAAAGTTGCTCGAGCAAGTCTCCTTCTTGAATGACTTAAAAACGTTACAACAAATAATCTATAAATTCCTCCAATGACCATATCGGGTAATTAGCCTCTCTCCACTAAAACCTTGCTAGGGTTTTCCCCTTCAAACATAACTGCGCAGCCATCGGCTTCTCCTTTAGTCTATTCACTATAAAATATCGCTTTACCCGGTGCACCCAACCATGTGTGTCTTCCCCCTTGAAGATCGGCATCTTCAACTTCTTAACTCTAGCATATCCACCCAACTTTCTCTCCCTCCGATTGTTCTCCCTATGTATCTAGGGTAAAAATCACTCCTTCAATCATAGTCATACCCCATCTCAACATATCTCCTTCCTTCTTCGCACTCGTCCATACCCCTTGCAAAATCATTACACTATTTCGATCCAACCCCTTCCATCGAAAATCTCTAATCCACCTCCCATCGGACCCCTAGAAAGAGATTCTTGATGGTGGATGCTTTCTTCATGTTACCCTCATTTGATGTTTCCCTTTAGATTTGGTCAAGAATTCTCTGATCAAGCCTTAGTTAATGTTTGCAATCAGAATTGTTGGATTACATCTCAATAAGACTCCTCATAATCTCCTTCAGGCACTCAAATCGATTTTCCGTGGAGAAAAACCTTCCTTCTATGGTTGAGAATATTTCCTCAATCCCGAATTTAATTTACACCATCTTTCCTTCCAATCTCTCTTCCAAAGCATCCACTTTTCCTGACATCTGTCCAAAATCTCTAAGATCTTGCTTTGATAACAATGTGATACAAATTAAAACCAAAATCAGCAAACAAATTATAAGAAATATGTAGAATAACTCAAATTAGGGCTATGTTGATTAATTTTCATGCAAACAAGCAAAGTTATAATGGGTGATCTACAATTTGAGGGATAGATCGATTCTTCAAAAACTCTAGACGCCGCTAAGAGCAAGAAGAAAAAAACATTGCATGCATCAAAACATGAAAAAAAAAAAAAAAAAACCTAGGGGATTAGCCCTAATAAAGTACCTCCAAAATAAATTCAATCTCTCCCCAAAAAAGACATTTAAACTCCCCCACAAACTCTAGACACGGCTAAGACCAATAAGACAAAAAGAAAACTGCAGGAATTAAAACACGAAAAAAATACCCTAGGTGAATAGCCTTAATAAAACACCTCCAAAATACATTCAATCATTCCCCGCAAAATATATTCAATCTTTACCCCACAAAATACATCCAATCGCTCCCCCAGGCCAACTAGTCTAGCTTGGACGGACAAGTCCAATAGAAAGTGTCGTAACAAATATTGGTGGTGCATCCATGTTACACTTACAAAGGGGCTCCTAGGAAGACAATCAAGAAATGCTATCATGCCAACAAAAGCATACATGACGCAGCACAAGCGGAACTGCAACCATTATTTAAATTGCCTATTTCGCATGCGCCAAGAAGGACAACACAATGGTGCATAGTACCTAAGCAGTGCCATCCTACCCAAACCAAAAACGGAGAGCAATGGGAATTGGACATATTACTTATAAATGTGAGCAAGAATCATAATTTACATATTTTATCAAAAATTTCAATTGTACCTTGGCATCAGCCCTATAGGGTGATTGAATAGCATATTAGGCAGCCCCCACAAACTAATAAAGTTGTGTATTGACGTAACGCCAATGAGAAACCATAGTCAAATTTATGTTTGATACGCTACCAATCAGGAAAGATGGGCATAAAGGTGCACAGAACCTTAGTAAAATTTTAGAAATTTTAATAACAGCTTGATATCACTTCCATTAGGGGTGATCAAATATTGTGTTGGGCCATCCCCACAAAAGTAAAAAAGGCATGTACAGGAGTGCCTGCAAACAAGCATAATCACAATTTTGGCAAAGATGCAATATCACGTAGGTGGAACTACCTACCATTTGCTTGCTTGTTTTCATCCTTTCTTGCTTGCTCACACACTCCTTGCATCATGGCTCCCTTCCTTCCGCCACTGAATTCCTGGATTTCATACTTTCTTTACCTGCATGCTTGCTTCTTTCCCTTTCTTCCTCCCTTGCATGCTTTCTGTTCCCAACTTTCTTTCCTAATTTTTCTCCCTTCCTGGCCTCTTACTTCTTCTTACTTTCTTGCTTGTTTCCTTACAGTATATATAAACCCTTCTCATTCCCGACTTCTTACTTTTATGCATATATTCAAGCATATATGGGATGATATTTATTTTGTTCAGTACACATGCGCATACTACCTGATTATCTTTTATTTTCGCGTGAATATTTTATCCCATCAAGAAAGATTGAGAACTTCAGGGCTATGGAGCCATTACCAAAGTTCTAGATGTTGATTTCTTCCCAAAATTCAAACCGGATCAACAGATCCAGATCATTGCTTATTTCAATCATAGATTAATATTGGGGCCAATGCCATGTAGAACAAACATAGGCTAGAGGACAGCAGGTTTGTGCAAATAATGAAATTTAAATGGATTAAGTGTTCATTAAAACAACCAAACTGAACTTCATATCAAGATAAATGTAGACAGTAAGCTCAGCTCACAACTACATAGCAGTGAAATCATCAGATAAACTGCAAAGAGAGTCGATACCTGTAGCATCAGATGTTTGGTTCTGCCCCCTGCAGCATACAGCATAAGGCATTAGGAAAGAGTCAGTCCTTAAAAACAGTTTCAAGGAGAACTATCTAATAAAACTAGAAGTTAAAGTTCGACAAGTAAAAAAATATTCTGGCAGAAGAGAACGGAGAGACAAAAACCTAATACATTGTAGCAATTACAAATTTTAAAAAGAGCAAAAAGTTGACAATTTTTGTAGGTATTTTGAGCAAACAGTTTGTTTTTAGTACATTTCATGCAAAGCAATTAATGAAGAGATGGAGCTACTATGGCATAGGCACAAATGGTGTAAATTGTTTAATTAACTTAAAGATTCCACAGGTTCAACAACAGGATGTCTCGCTTATTTAAGATCAGAGGAAGACGCAAATAAGAGAATCCATAGCGCACAGAAGGTCCACAATAAAAAAAAATGAACTGATGAGTGGCGAACAGGTAATTACTGGTTTGACTGTTGCCGTCCGAACATTGAAGAAAGAGACTGTTGCAATGTCAGAATTTGCTGCATTGAAACAAAATATAGATTAAACAATGGCAGAATAACACAGCAACCATCGAAAATTGAATAAAACCTGCAGTGTTTCTGGTGATGCTAGCTGTCGAAGAAATTCAGGATTTTGCATCATTTCTCGCAATTGTGTATTAGATTCCATCATGGAGCGCAACTGTGGGTTCATATTAAAAATCTAACAGAAAGTAATCATATCATAAGTAAAATGCCGTTTAGGAAAGTGATTCAAATATCACATGCAGTAGCTAAAAACCTGGTTAATATATTGTGGGTTTGAAAGTAAAGATTGCATCATCTGTGACATTGCTGGATTTTGCAAAACCTGGTTAAAAACGGATGAGTCTGGCAAGCCAGCAGCCATCCTCTCCAGTTCTGGAGCACCAAGCCCGCCTAGCCCTGCAATGTTACCAGTTCTTCCATCACCTCCCGTGGTTGATCTGGTATTCTCTTGTGTACCTCCAGCTGCCAAAGAAACAAAGTTTTGACGCAAATAGCATTAACGGATTGAAGCACAAATGCAAGGCCAACATAATCCGATATGTATATACCATTGTTGTTCCAAGGATTAGGAAGCGGATTAGTATTGGGTGAAGGAGAACCATTTGCTGAATCTGGGCTAGCAGTGGAAGAATTTGTTGACCCCCTAGACTGTGTGCTTCCTTGATTTCCCAAAAGCGCTGCAAAAGGATTCAAACCTGCACCACTTCCTGCATTTCCCTCCATCGTTGTTGCATTTAGAAACGGCTCCTGTACGGTTTCATACATTCGCCTAAGCATATTAAATCCTTCCGGTGAAGACTCAATATTGCTCATGGCTCTGTCGGTATTCCGCATCATTTCTCTCATTAATTCGGGATTCCTGGCTGCTTCCAGAGTCTGCCTTAGAGTGCTGGGATCATTTAGCACATGCGCGAGATCAGGATTTCGGTCAAGTATCTCCCTCATTTGTGGATTGCTCATAATCAGGTTCCGCATCAAATCAGGATTATTCACCAAATTTTGAATTGCAGGCATGTTCATTAAATCCCTCATCATATTTGGGTTCTGAGTGAGCTGCTGCTGCATCTGATCAAACTCTGGGAGTCCAGTTCCAAACGAGCCAGACGCCCCAACACCAAAAAGCCCATTAGAACCTAGTCCAGGGAAAAATGAAGCGCCAAGTTCAGCACCACCCAACCCCCCACCCTCATTGGAGCTAGGAGACCTTCCAGTTGCGACATTATTGTCTGCAGGTGGTGCTCCAATGCTGGCCGCAGAATTATTTGTAGGGAATGCTCCAGGGCTGGCCGCAGTATTGTTAGAGGTATTTGATAATGCAGCACCACGAACTAAATGGATTGTGTGATCCGACTCCAAGCCTATTTAAATAAAGGTTGCATAACGTCAAGTTTCTATGATTCAACTTATTAAAAATTGTAAGGAAAAAAAAAAAAGAAACTGTGACACCAACCAAAACAACAGATTTTCCAAATCAAATAGCATGAAAGGAATAACAAACCAACTGTGAACAATGTCCTAAATCAAGCAGTATAATAATGATATATTCAACAAAATAAATTATTAACGTTTTACTACAAAGAAGTGCAATTCCCACACATTTGCTCCTTCACTCTCCATCTTGCACTTGCATTTAAAAGCATGCATGTGTTGTGTGATTTCGTATCTTTTTTTATCTGAGAAGAATTCAACTTCTAATGTCGCAAGCATAAAAACAGGTAAGAGAATGAAAAATCTTATAAAAAAAAATGTTTAGTCTTGCTATATATTTATTTAGTTATATCACAGGTATAGTAGAAATTGTGAATATATATCTTAAAAGTATAAGGAAAACAATCAAAAGAAATTATTATCCTAAGATGGCAGAATTTACATTATACAATTTTACTAAAATTTCAAAATAGGCAGCTAAAAGAGAGAAATTAGAATTCTTTTGTTGAGTCAAACCTCATATGGAATAAGAGTACTAGTTAAATTAATATGATTACAGTTAAGAATAATCTAGAAATTGAAATATTGAACACACAATGATAAGGAAATCTAGTGATGACAAAAAGAGCCAAAAAATTAAAGAATAGAAATGTAATTCTAAAGAGTGGCATAAATTTTATAGGTTGAAATATATGATAATTATAAGAATTCTAGAAGTACAATAAAAAGTATATAGAGAACTTGGGAAAATGTTAGCATTGTTTTAAATATTGGAATGAACTGACCGGTTCAACCAATCCTCTAGCCAGTTTGGTACAATTCTAAAATTACTTGATCACAAAACCAGCCATAAAGAATCAAAAGCACCGGTTGAACTGATCTGATTTTTTATGAACCACCTGGTCCCAATATCAATCAATTTATGGCTTATTGATTTTGATCAAATGGCTGTAAATAAAAGATTTAAATTTAAAATAGCGAAAAAATTAAATTATAATGTCCCAAGATTTTGATTTAGAAAAAAATTCTGAAAACATACAAGAATGAAATAACCTAATTAAGAATACTGTATATTGAATTAGTGAAATGTTATTATCTCATAATTATTATGTCATTTAAATAATACTAAATAAAATTAATAACTATTACGTTGTCCAATTCAACCCCTGATTGAACTTTTGGTTTAATATTCGATCCTATTTTCAGAAACTTATATAATAAGCTTTCTAATAAAGAAAATAAGAGCTATATAAATTAGAGGAGAGATACCATAAGAGATTTAAAAATTTTGATTAAATAAGATGCACTGCAAAAAAAATTAATTAATTAAAATAAACAAATCAAGAAAAAGCAAAAAACTACTTTAACAAATTATTAAATAAGAATTTTAAGAAATTAATTATTTAGGAGCCTACTGAAAAAAAAAACTTATAAACATTGATACAAAAACAAATGCAGCTGACAGGAAAGAAGATTGATAAAGAAAACACTTTTTAAGTTCAGACGAGATATACATTAAAATTAGAAAAATTAACGGTATGTCAATGTGGCTTGGTTAACAAAGCATTTTAATGTCATTTGTACACAGAATGTCAAATGATTAAAGAATTATTCTAATATAAATATTAGAAAAAATGAGATTCAAAATTATGATGACTAAAAAGAAAACAAACTTAAAAGTCGAAAAAAAAGAAATAATGAGAAATAATAAAAATGCAGGCTTAAAATATAATACAAAATTTCAATTATTGGTTCCATGCCATTATGTTAAAATAATTGATTAAAAGTATACGGGACAAGGAAACCACTTCAATATGATTTCTATTGATTTAAAGAAAAATATAAGATCGAATACTAAGAGAATTGATTTGGTTTGCAATATAAAAGAAATGTATAAACACTAAAAAGTGAGCAAAGAGCTTCGAATTAAAATATGATTACATCAAGGTTGTCAATAATGAGTCCCTATCTTTTTCGTATTAGATATGAAAAATCCATATTTGATATTTGATGTGAGATGCCTTGGTATATGCTTTGCAAATGTTATAATTCAGTTCGGTGAAGCATCAAAATTAAGTGGGAAGTTAGGACAATAGATAAAAAAAGTTTAGAACATATATGGCAATAATAAAACACAGCACATTATAAAGTACAATAACATAACAAAATGCAGAAAATTGAAGCAGCATGTATTTTCTGCACTATATGCATTGCCCTTACAAAGCGTACTCCTGGTTTCTATTTTTAAAGTTTAAATAAAGCCTATTATATTTATTTTTATCATTTCATTGTCATTAATTTTTAAGTTAAGAGTTTCATTTAAAGCCAAACCAGTCTCAACAAATAGTACCTCCCATCACCAAAAATACTAAGGTATTAACCACCTTCACTATATGAAAGAAAATTATGAAATGTGAACACTGAGTTGAAAGAGAAAATTAATGAAATGGCGATATAATTATATGGATGAAGGAGACAACTTTGACAAGCTGAATGAAAACATTTTAGCTCCAAGAGCACAGAGTTATAAAAAATCAAAAGGAATCCTACGAGTCGAAATTCAATGACAAACTTTATTATTAAAGAAAAAAAGGTGAGAGGTCCATTAGATACATTTTTAACTTGGACTATGAAAAATGAATGTTGCTGCAAGAAGGTGAGAGAAAAAGCAATCCAGTGTTTTGAGAATGATGTATAATATCGGCATCTACTTTAATGCGGATAAGTATAATATAGGCTTCTACTTTAATGTGTTTTGAGGGCCCACAAAATAGGATAAACACTACTTGCATTAGCCTCCTCCAATCATCTAGACTTTCATACTTTCTTCCATCCCTGTTCCTCCCCTTCATCGGATAAACTACATAGGTCTATGATCATAAATTTATAACAAAATTTTAAAATAATAATAATAATAATAATCACTATTATATCCTAAATAAAAGGGAATTAAATGTGATACTCATAATAAACGATTAGCTGGACTTTGTTTTTTAAGGTTAAGTTGGAATGGAAAACAAAAGAATTTTAACTAGAAAAAATCATCAATCATTTTCTCCCAAGCTAATTTTTTAAATTTCATACTTAAAGAGCTAATGAATGTAGGCTGCACTAAGGATTTGATGTAGTATCTTGATTATGATTAGATAACACAATCTATAATTTTGCATATTTGTACTTCTGACCTTTTTTCAAGAACTACAGTGGATGTTATGCTTAATCTAAAATGTTCGATTCAGGTATAACAGCAAGGGAATCGAGTTCAGTTGGAGCAGTAAAACCTTTCTCGAACTGTTTAAGGCCAGGTTCTACTGTAACCTGGCAACTGTGTTACATTATTTGATCTTAAATTTCGTTCACCCCAAATATTTATATTATTGTTTTTTAGCCTTTGTAACCACTCAAGGAGAGGCATCTTCTTCTTCTCCGAAGGAACCTGGGTCCCACTAGAGAATGTTCTTTCACACAGATCCTAAGGAAATTTCAACACTGTGGTTCATTCCTTCGGTCGACCCATCTGTTGATGGGTGCATTATTGAACTAGATTTAGTACCCAAATGTCTCCATATAGTCTTTTAGAAGTAGCTCAAAAATTATGTCGACCCATCTCTGACAACTTATCGGACCATCTCTCAAGTTGAATCTCCCTCAATAAGGGCAACTCAAGAGATAGAGTATATATTTGAAAATTCTGAAATTTTAATATATGGAGTTGCCTAGTGTCTAGTATTGGCTCCTCATACTCAAAACAATTTTGGACATACAATGCCAGTCCTAAAGATGCTCCTCTCAACATCCACAAAAAAAGTAGTTCAAGGCAACACGACCTCATACTTTGTCTGACTGTTCATTACCTCAAACACAATTCCTTCTAGAACAACTATTGTTAACCTCGATGTGGTATCCCTCAAAGATTCGGCTTGAATTAAATGCATCTTTCCCTCATTAGTCGGTAGCTGGTAAATCCTCCTTGGTGTCTCTGTTTTTTTCAATGTCTACCGTTGTCTATTCAATAGTTCTTTGCTCAGTGAAATAGACCGTACTCTTGTTTGAGCAATCTAAGGCATTGTGCCCAAAACAGTGACATTTGACCCACTTTTTGGCTAGGACAAATTTGAGAATGTTGGTCGGATCACAGGTTCTCCACTAAACTAGTTTTTCCTCGGGTAGGGTCAACTTGAATGTTCCAATGAGTGTACTCTTGCTGCTTGATCCTAGGGATACACTCTACTTGTAAGATGTAATGATCACTTGAGGAAATTATCTTTACACCTTCAGGCTAAGATTTGAACATTTTGTAATGTTTGATATGGCTGCAACTACGCCACCTTGCCAACAAATAATCTCAACCCCCTCAGTTATCGAGCTAGGAAATTCTCCACGGACTTTACCAGCCCACATTTCAAAATAAACTGCTCAAACTCAGTTGTTTTCTCCTTTACTGAGAGGTTATGTTGTTGTAGGTGATGAAATCTGGCAAATATTCCTGTCTATAATGAAAAGAAAGATATTTATGTTGCAATTCTCGTTTCATCTTGGACAAGATAATGATTTTGCTTTTCCCTTCCCGTTGACGTTGGTCCTTCAAATTTTCACCACAACAATGCACACTATTTTAACTTGGTAGCGGCTAGCTTTATTATTCTATTCAGTTGTACGTCCTGATACTCAAAAACATTTTCCACTGCCTTGAGCCACTAAATGAGCTCATCGGGATTAATTTGGCAATAACAATATGACGAGTCACCCTGTACTCCTGAATTATGGTTTCTTTGATAATTCATGTCAAATATCTGGGGTATTGGTTCTTCGTTGCTGAAAACTGCTATGTGGAAAGGATTCACTTCAGCCTTTCGGTGTAAGTAAAAATCGTTGTGGCTACGGATGACTCATCCAGATTGTCTTCTCTCGAAAGCAACAAACTTATGTT